AGCTGAAGTGGCTGAGGGCAGAACAGTCTGCCTTGGACCTTGCAGTGGGATGAAGGGCCCCAGACACAGGTAGGGGCATAGATCAGTGGCTAAAGCCATAGATCATGTATATGGCTAGCCTTGTATGCAGAAGATCCTGGCTTCCATCCCCAGGGCCACCCCTTCTTAAAAAGACCCCCACTTTCTGCCAGCGTGTAAACAATACTATCAATGTACTACCACACACTTGGGAGGAATTAAAATTAGGTTTGACGGGACAAATCAGGTTTTTTTATTTTAAAAGGTTGTATTTATTTTTATTTTATGAGTGTTTTTTGTCTCTATGTATGTCTGTACATCTGGGGCATGCAATGCCTGAGGAGGCCAGAAAAGAGTGTTAGATCCCTTAGAGCTGGAGTTATACAGATGGTTGTTAACTCAAACTGTAGGTTCTAGGAATAGAACCCAGGTCCTCTGGAAGAGCAGCCAGTGCTCTTACCTGCTGAGCCATCTCTTCAACCCTTGTGAGTTTATGTTGTGACCTGCTTAAGTTGCAGATGGTCATTAGCTCTCCCAGGGCATGGGGCAGTTATTATTAAGTAAACCAGTTTGAAGGTCAGTGGAGAATTGTGGGAAACAGCACCTGAAATTACCGGTAGGGACTGGAAAATATCCACCATCCCTGTAAACATTTATTCACTGAGTGAATCTGTATGAAGCACCTAATGTGTGTGTCAGGCACTGTAATGGATCCTGGGTGGGGTACAAGAACAGCCTCTACCTTCATGGGGTCTTATTACAATTTAATTAGCTGCCTTGTTTCTGAGACACTTCTCCGGGCACTGTGAAATATATAGAATCAACTCTCGAGCATCATAAATACTGACCCAGTCTCTGACTCAGCAATTTGGGAAGCACTTAGGCTTTTCAGAAAGAGCTATCTATGGATTTGGACAAATGACAGATTTACCCAATAAAATGTCTGAGGACTACCTGAAAATGAATCAGAAGAGACTGTCTCAACCAAATGAGTATTTATAAAGAGCCAGCTTTTGAGAATGGAAAAGCTTACAGGGCTGAAAGGCAGAAATCTGACCTCAGCCTAACTCACGAGTGACCTTGAGGGAGCCTTCAACGGATTTGAACTTCAGTTTTCTCTTCCATAAAGCAAGCTCATCCGATCCCATGTTTTCAAACTCTCAATTATTTCTTTATTGTCTTGGGCTCACGGTTACTTTAAAACAAAAGCCCAAATCCCCAAGAGGATGCTTCTCTTGAGAGATGCTTCAACAGAAGAGAGATTTTAATTTTTTTATTTTTGCAAATGGATACTGTTCTTTTCTCAACTGTAAATATGGCACGTGATCAGTGAAGAAACAAAATGGAGGGAAATGCAACACACACACACACACTCACGCACGCACGCACGCGCACACACACACACACACACACACACACACACTAGAAGCCCTTCCTCTGGAGGCTGTGAATTCAGTGTTGTCACCAGAGACTGAAACTGGCTGGGCAGTACGGGATCTCTCAGATGTCCTGTTTCACAATAACTGCTATCTGATACTTAAGGAATGCTGAAAAACAATAACATCGTATGCACAACTTCAATGATCATGACTAATATCAAGGACAGATCAGTTTGAGCAGCATCAAGAATGACTGCAAAGCATTCCAAGGCACAACCAGGAGTGTTGGGGGTGGGCAGTTGCTCCTCCAACCCCCAGGACTCCTCCTACCCCTTAAAACCAGGCTAAATGCTTCTGGGACCCTGGGACTCAACTGGATATATTTACTGTCAGTCTAGCATCGGTGGATCATGAACTCTGGTGATGTTTTCTGATGATCTCTGAAAAGGGACTGAAGCGAGATCTTGGCTGCAGACCCATGAGACTATTCCCTTTGAGTGGAATGAGTTGCTAGCACTAATCCCATGTCGCAATTAGCTGGACTGCGGAGATGTGCTCTTCATCTAGGCATCCTACATCACTCTACTCTCTTATATGACTTGCTAACTAAAGCATGAGGTGGAAGCGCCAGGCACTATGCAAGTCCCAGAGAACCAGGTGCATCCAACACCAACCTTTCCTTAGAAGAGCTCACAACCCAGCAGAGGAAGACGGGAAAGCGCAGAAGTAAAGTAGACCTGGAGTGCGGGATGGCTGGACTCAAGGTTGCAGCGATTGCCTAACATATGCAAAGCCCTGAGCTGGACCACAACACCTCAATAAATTAACAAAGCACAGTGTGATGAATACAGCACTTGCCTGCCTTATTCTGGGAAGTTAGTAGGAGACTTATTGGCAGTCATGTTTGAACTGAGTTTCAAAGGGTGACTCAGAGTTCAGCAAGCAGACTGGGTGGTGGGGAAGACTGGAAACAGTGGAGGTGGTGCTGTGTCCTGTTGTGCAGGTGCACCTTTCCGGCCAGAAACTGCCTTCCTCCCGCGGATAATGACTGTTAGGAGCCTCTGCCCAACTCATGCCTTCCTCCTGATGGGAACACTGGAAGTTCAGCTCTACCAGGATGAGTCTGCCTAACCTTCACTCACTCCCAGCTGCTTCTGTGAGACAACTATCCCACCCTCAGCTAACTGACCATCATTCTGTTATCAGAGCTGTTTGTTTCAGAGCCTCTGACACATGAAGCGTAGACCACCATTGCAAACAAATAATACACACTCTTACAAATATCTGTGAGTGTAAAGCTCTCCTAGTCATATACATCCCTCGGGGCAAGGGGAAGTGCGCAAGCATCTGAAGAGGCTGACATCGGGTGTCTTTCCTCAACCGATTTTCTACATTACTTTTGAGATAGGAGGGTTCCTTAGGATTCCAATTCTGGCTAAACTGGCTGGCCAGCAAGTCCTGAGGATGTTCTTGCCCTTCACCCAGTGCCCTCCCCAACCCCAGCTAGGATTTCAAACTGGTTTTTACATGGGTGCTATAGAGCTCAGGTCCTCATGTTTGTACAGCATGAGATTCTATAGACCGAACCATCCCCCACTCAAACAGTCCACTTTTGACAAGAGCCCAATTGACAGAAAATGAATAACAACAAAAAATACAATTCAAGAAATATTTATTTAATGCTTGGTATTCACAGTTAAAAAAAAAAAACACCACCCACCATCTATCCAACCCTAAGGAAGAAGCACTGTGTACCAAGCACTCTGTTACCAAGTACTTAGCACCTGGAAATCTTGCCAAGCTACAAATACACAGAAGTTAGTTAGTCATATGGATAAATAAAGATCACTACAGTAAGTGTCTTACAGAGCAATGTCCGAAAAATCACAACTGCTTATACAAAAGAGTGTTGACTGTGCCCAGGAGCCTGGGCTGGTATTGTAGAGGAGACCAGCTTGCCTTACTTTATTATAGTATCTTTTAATAGACACAAATAGAGGATAGCATTATACAACGAATGTTCACTACCAGCTTCACTCATGGTCCCTTGTGACCTACCTTTACTTCCCTCTGCACCACCCAGCCCTTGGTTTAGGCACAGATTCTAGATGTTTCTCACTGCTTCCATAGATACTGAGCTGTGTTTGAAAAGGGGACTGGAAATGTGTGGGTCTTCCTTGGCTCACCTAGTCTCCTACCCTGAGAGTATAGTTTATACTCTGATTCCTGCCAGTGACTCCAAAGCCTTGGCTGCTTCCAGGGTGAAGACCCCAAGACTTTCCTGGGGCCTTTGGACTAAGGAAGGTTGTACTGGCGCAGTGAAAACTCCATCCTGCCTTGGGAATGCTGCCCAAATGTACTGATCTTTAGTCCTTATAAAACTTAATCTTCTGAGCCAGGCTCAGTGGCCCACACCTCTAACCCCAGCACCTGGGAGGCAGAGGCAAGAGGATCTCTGTGAGTTCAAGACCAGCTTGATCTACAGAGTGAGTTCCAGGACAGCCAAGGCTACACAGAGAAACCCTGTCTCAAAAAAACAAAAATAAGAACAAGCAAACAAGAAACAATTTTCTGGAGGTTTGAGCACCTAATGTTTACACAAAAACGGCAGCTACTTCCTCCGCTTCCAACCATTTTCAGCAACCTCCAGGGAAACTTCAGACAGTATGAGGCTTGCTCTGTGGATTGAGCTCACCCAGAGTTGCTTACTGACACAGCCTTGATTCTGCCTGTATGGGAAGTCTGGCCCCACCATTTGAACATGTGGCTTTATACCTCCCAGCCTTTCAGACTGTATCTTTCCTGAAAGGTAGGAACTGACATCCACGCAGTTAACGGGACACCCGGCCCCCGCCCCCGGGACGCGCGCGTGTGTGTACAAAGCCCTTGTAATCTTAGCATGGGTCTGCCTCAAGCACCCGGACCTTATTCTCTACCCAGCCTCTTAGCGACGTCCGTAACGCCTTACCCCTACAGCCCTATTTAAAATCCTTCCAGTGTTTCTGGTCCCCAACCGCAGACCCTGCAACAATTTCCTTGCCACAGCTTTGCAAAGCTGAAACGTTTCTCACGCTTCACCCGCGACATCTTCAGCGAATGCTTCCTGCAGACTCCGCGCTCTGCCCGGGAATAATGAACGTGAAGCTAGTAGGGCCTGGCTCCCGCGAAAGGAGTAAGTCCTCGGCTTCACTCTGAATCTCAACTCCGTCCACAATGGTAGCACTCGGATCACTGAGACTCGAGTCCGAATTCGCTTCCGCCGATCCGCTGAGCCCCTCTACCCGAACCCAGTTCGACCACCCAGCATCGCTGGGTGAGCCCAAGGCTCCGAGCCAAGCTCCCCACCCCCGGGAGGAAGGAGGCTTCTGATTGGCTCCTGAGAGGTAGGGCGGCCCGCGGGGGGGGCGTCGCGGAAAGATGATGCAACGCCGCGGATCCTTAAAGGCGCCGGCTGCACGCGCCACCGATGGCGCAGGCGCGTTGATTGGCTTCCAGTTCTAACTCTAGAGCTACACCGAGTCCGGTCGGGCGGACGTGCAGAGTGGACGGCGGGGACGCGCGCCGGATTCGGGCGGGTGGGTGGGCGGGCGGCGGCGGAGGAGCGGGAGGCGCGATGGCCGAGGGCAGCGCTGTGTCCGACCCTCAGCACGCCGCGCGCCTGCTGCGGGCGCTCAGCTCGTTCCGGGAGGAGGCGCGCTTCTGCGACGCGCACCTGGTCCTCGACGGCGAGGAGATCCCGGTGCAGAAGAACATCCTGGCGGCGGCCAGCCCGTACATCAGGTGAGCGGGCGCCGCCGCCCATCGCCACCGCATCCCTCCGTCCCTCCCTCCCTCCCTCCGGCCTGGCCACCGGCAGCTCCCGCGGCTCCACCGCCGCGCCCCTCCGGCCCCCACGGGCCTCTCCCGGAGGCCCCCCTCCCCACCAAGATCGCCGTGGCCCCGGAGCCCCGGGAGGTCAGCAAAAGCCCCAGACGCGGTGTACAGGCGGTCTTGGGACCCGCACCCGCGAGCAGGGCGGGGCTGCTCCGGAGTGAGCCGCTCCTTCGCCCCGACAGGCCCCGCCCGGCCAGCCGAACCCGCAGAAGTTTACCTCGGAGTCACCGCACTGTGGGCCGGGCCGGGTTTTGCGCGTGTAGGCAGAAGGAGAACCCATAAGATCTGGATGGGAAACCCCCACCCCCGCCCCCAAAGCCCAACTGTCAATTTGCCACTCCCTTGTTCCAAACAGGTTAAACTGTTGTGAATCTGAAAAGACCCACCGTCATTTTTTTGGATACAGTTACAGAGATTGTAACCACCAAGAGGGCACTGTAAGACTTGAGCGACACAAACCTTAGCCCAGTTTATAAGGTTAATCAAAAGGTTCAGAGCAAGCTTAAAGCATTGGGCCAGAATTCGCAAGGAGGCTGCTGTGTTTAGCAACTTTCCTTCGGGCAAACTGGGTTGCTCTTTTAATATCGGGAGTGGAGGGAGCTAAAAGCTGGAGAAAGTGCCTAGTAAGCTGGTTAAATATAGACTAATGGTAGACAATGTCACTAGAATTGGCAAGTCAGAAAAAGGAAAATTATGTGCATGGAGTTCTGAGAGCTCTGCCCCCAACAGAACTCAGCACATACGCTGTACTTTAATCTTTGTTTTTGGAGATGTTCGAACTCAGAGGCAATCCAAGTGCCCTTGAAACTTCTGGCTTCTATCCTACCCTTGCCTTGTAACATGGTGCTCTTTGTGGACTGGGGAGTGGGGGGTGGTGTCAGATGTATTTGTTAATACGAAATTTAGATTACCAAGATGACAGCTCATACATAGCTGGCAGTTCATAGGTTAGGGCAATCAATTGAATTGGATCTGCAGGCCAGACCTTTCCCGTATCCAGAGGAGTCCCTGTTTGGGAAATGCTTAGGAAAACTACAGTGGATTGGATATTGTTGCAAATCCTCACGTGGTACCTGCCTCTAAAACTGCACATCTTGAAACACTTGCTGTCTCCGTCTTTCTTCATGGCACTTCCCACTGTAATAGAGTCTGTATTTTTCTCATCTTGGTGTATCTTTCTCAACCACAGTGTAAACTCGGGCCAAGGATTTTTCTGTTTCTTGCTGGACTCTTCATAGAGGAAATAGTGCCTGGTGCCAGAGTAAACGCAGTGAATGAATGATCACTCTCCTTTCATTGGACATCAGAGCTTTGGCTTTGTTATATTTCCATGTTAGTTGGTTGACTAGGGGTCTGGACTCATATTTCAACTTTTACCTTCCTAGCTGAGTTGTTAGGGATAACTTAGTCTTGACAGATGAGGGTCACAGTGTGTTTTTGTGTCATTCATCTCTAAGGCACTTACAAAGAAATGAGTTTCAGACACTCAGCTTCACACAAGTCTGTTTGTTCACTGGTTAGGAAAGATCTCCTGTTCATGTCTGGCTGTCACTTTCCAAATAAAGGAGAGATTTCCTGTGATTCATGTCTGTCTGTCACTTTCCAAGTAGAAAAATAGCATCTCAGAGGATGTTAGCAACTTGTATGTTAAAGTTATTGGTACTTAGTTTATGGTGCATAGCCCCCTGTTCCTACTGCTCCAAATGACAGCATGGCCTGTATTTCAGTGTACTTTGGATAAAACCAAGATTGATGGCTTTATAGTATGTTATCATTTAAATGCTTGTGAAGCATTTAAATGACCCATTTTGATTTTCCTCTTCAACCATTTTTTGCAATTGATTAACATGTTAATATTATGTAATGTTATGCATAAAATTATGCAATGTTAGCATTTCATAAATAAATCAAATTTTCAAAAATATAAATAAATGGAATTTTCTTTATTGGCAGATTATGTTGTTTGACTACTGAAATGCTAGGAGATTCCTGTGGTGTTTTTACATTATCAATTTCAAGGGTATTTGAAAATATCTAAATTACTACTTAAAACACAGCTTAATTTTCTATTTTAAAATATTTTATTGGTTAATGCCATACTTACATGCAATGTGTCTTGATCTTGCATTTTAATAATTTTTTAGATTTATTTATTTTTATGTTATGTGCATGGGTATTTTGCCTGCAGGTATGTCTATGTACCATATGTGCCTGCAGGGGCCAAAGAGGGCATTAAATCCTCTGGAATGGGAGTTACAGGTGGTTGTGAGCTGCCTTATGGGCAGTGTTCTCTGGAAGAGCAGTCAGTGCTCATAACTACTGAGCCAGCTCTCCGGCTCTCCAGTTTATTAACTTTTGACACCAATGCTATTACACTTTTACAATGTAGCTTTGTTGAAATGGCACTTTAGAGACTACATTGAAAACAATGTGTATAAGCGTTTAGGTGCCTTAGGACCAAGCATTTAGGTCTCCAAGCCATTCTTGAGGGCAATGCAGGTGACAGGGATTTGAAAATGAGTCTGTGCTTATAACAGTAAAGTGGCTCAATAAGGAATTTGTTCAATATCCTTAGGTAGATTAAATGTCACAGGAGGTCTAAAGTTGGAAGGCATCTAAAGTCACTCTAGAAATTAAGGCAACTTGATGGACATATAGTCTACATACTGTACAAAAGTCTTGCAACATAACTTACTGGTTTAATCTTTTCTTGTGCTTTCCTTGGTCTAGCATTTGTTTTTCTTTCCAATAAGTAGCCATTCCAACTATGCCACGTAAGAAAGATTTTTAAGGAAAACAGCTTCAGCAAAAATCCCTCATAACCAGCTGAAAGGTCTGAGATTGTGCCTGTGTAGAGCGTATCCCAAAGTTTGATGTCATGATGCTCAGGGGGTTGGGCAGTTCCTTCCATGATTTGTCACTCACCTCTGCAAATGAGAATGGCACTTTAGAGACTACATCAAGCAAAATGAATATAAATATTTATATTCCAGAAGGCTGTTTCCTAGTCCCATCCCTGGCTGGTATTTACTTATAGCTTGTTGAGAAAACTAGACCTCAGTGCATCTGAGAACCTTAGAAAATGACAAGACTACACTTAGAAGATGACAAGACTACACTCTGTGGACATGGTGCTCCTGGTGTTTCTTCCTCAGAAACTCTGACTCCCCCAGGGAATGGTCCCTTGGGCTTCTGGGAATTTCTTTGGACAGCTGCAGAGTTAGCCTTGCTTCTTGTCTGAGGCTCTTCTGAATCCGGCCCAGTGCTGTTGATCTGATGGGAAGCTCTGACCTTCCCTCTTGAGCTGTTCTTGGGGACGATAGAGGTGACAGGGATTTGAAAATGAGTCTTTCTGTGCTTGTGAAGTGACACTAAAGTTGTTCTGTACAGGTTCCTAGCCCTTTGTATGCTTTCCAGAATTTACGCATTTCTGGGGACCTGTTGTGATAACATTCAGTCCTGGTTAGCGTGGAGTTCCCCATGATTTTTTTTAAATCCTTTGATGAGTCAGCCCACAATGGAAATGACTTTGATTGTTTGTTTTCTGGTGGATCTAGTGATGGTGGAGTGAGACGTATGGCCATCTGAACTTTTGCAGGACCTGATTTCTTTATCTGTGAGGTGAAGTTGACTGTGCCAAAGCCCATGTAATATGCAGCCACGTGGCTCTTCTGCTTTGCTTTACATGTGTGTGGTGGAGGGGTTGTCTCCTTCCAGTTTAGTATATGCCATTATATATACATTGATGCTGAAATGCTTCCCCTGCCTTGCCCTGCAGGACTTTGTGGGGTAGTCTAATGAATGCAGCCAGTAGCATTGTATGAAAGGAGCATTTATTTCATACTGTTAACTTGGGTACATTCCAGGCCTAATTATTGACAGTCCTATTTCACCATTTAATTCTAAGATTTGACTTATAGGTGGTGTGGAAGAAAATATTGAAGGAAGTTAACATGAGCGCTATAGGATAGCTTAGTTTCATAGTAGCTTAGAAATTGTCAATGTCCATTTTAGGGATGTCTGAAAGTTTAATGTCACTGTGTACTATCTAAGTACTATCCCCTAGTGTTGTTCACTGTGTGCAGAGCATGTTGTTATTCCCAACGCCCCTTTCTGTGATTCACTTACACAAATAACTAAGCAACCTTTAACCCCTCTTTGTTTCCTTGATGCTGAAGCTGAGCCACCCAGGCAGCCACACCCACTAAGGTCCTTGCTGTGAAAGAAAGGCATTGCAGAATGATGCTCTCCACACAGTCTTCTGGTTCTCTGATATTTTCATCTTTTTTCAGGGCTTTGAGTTTGTAAGCAGGTTCTGAATGATTGCGGGAGGGTTCTAAGGAGCCAGGGTTGCCTACTGCGTTCTTAGGATTCTTCCAGTAGAATGGGTTCTGATGTTCTATCTGAGTCTGCACCACTAGTTAAGGCTCATGGTACCCCATCCATCTCTTGTCAGGACCTTGTAGTGGTGGGAAATAAATTCAGCATTATCTTTTAATGGATCTAGGTATTGTTTGTTTTTATCTGTCCTAAAGCTCTTAGAGTTAAGTGTTCTAAAATGTGCAGCAGGGAAAGACACTTGTCACCCAGTCTGGTAACTTGAGTTACCCACACAACTCCTAAAATTTGGCCTCTGATCTTGACACATATACTCTAATATATAAACAAGAGCTTGCACACACATAAATAAACAAATGTAATTTAAAAATTTTTTACTGCTCTTTCTTTATCATATTTGGTTAGAACCCATTCATATGTGAGTTTTTCAAAGAGAAGTTTTATAGTTGTGATCCCCTTCGGATCGCCGGCCTTCTATAGCAATAAACACTTGTAAACTGGTGCTGAAGGTTTTGTCCCTTCAGCTTAAAGATACTTGTTTGTGTACAAAAGTGATTGTCACAGTGTTG